AACGCAGATTCAGGCTTCAGAACTGTCAGTCTCTCGTGGGAGAAGCAGACAAAAAAAAAATGCGTATCATCTGACTCAGAAGGTAAGTGAGAATGTGTGACGTCGTTAGATCGATCGACATAAGGGAGTATGAGATAAAGGGATGAAGTGGTCTCCTAATGCATCCATCTTCCGTGGCTGCTGCAACAAATTACTACAAATTTAGTGACCTAAGAAACACACTGTTGTCTTATATTCAGTTCCGAAGGTCTGAAGTCGGCCCGAGTCTCACTGGGTTGGAACCCAGGTGTCGGCCGGGCTGTGTTCCTTTCTGGAGTCTCTTGGGAGAAGTCATTTCCCTGTTTCTTCTAGTTTATGGGGATTCGTGGCCCCTTCCATCTTCAAAGCCAGCCGTGGCCAGTCCCACACCGACCACCCCGACCCTCTCTTCTGCCTCCCTCTTCCTGTTTTAAGGACCCTTGTGGTCGCATGGACCCGCCCGGATAACGCAGGACAGTCTCCCTATTTTAAGGTCAGCTGATTGGCGACCTTCATTCCCTTGGTCAAGTGACGGAGCGTATTCACAGGCTCTGGGGATCAGGACCACGATTGGCGGGCCATCGTCCTTCCTCCTCATTGCCCAGATGCGAGTGTGGAAATGCTTCTTTTACGACGCAGGCCCAGCCCACACGGTCCAGCAGTTTGCTCTGGGCATGTGTCCAAAAGAAGGGCAAGCAGAGTCTTGAAGTCTCGAAGTGATGTCTGCACACCCATGTTCACACAGCATCATTCACTGTGGCCAAAAGGTAGAAACAACCCAAATGCCCATCGACGGATGAATGGATTAAAAAAATCTCGTCCGTTCATAAAATGGCATGTTCTGTAGCCTTAAAAATGAAGGAAATTCTTACACAGGCTACAACTTGGGTGAAGCTAGAGGACATCATGTTACGGGAAAAAAGCCGGTCACAAAAGGACAAATACTGTTTGGTTCCACTAGATGAGATCCCCAGGGAGTCAGATTCACAGAGACGAAGCAGGGGCTGGAAGGAGGGGAAATCAATGGGGAGTTAGTGTTTAACGGGGACTGAGTTTCCGTCTGGAAGGCTGAGGACGTTCTGGAGACGGTGGTGGTGGTGGCACGATGTGGCGTGCTGAGTGCCACCGAGCTCATTGCACGAGGAAACGGGTAAGGCGGCGAATTTTGTGTTATGTGTATTTTACCACAATCTAGAGAATATTATATGATAAATGATTATAAGACCTCAGGGGCACACACGCACACGCACGCACATACACTTCAGGCCTGGCCGCTGGTCGTGTCTAGAACAGATTTCATCATTTCTGATGAGTCAGTCCAGTGAACGTACACAGTCTAACTATAAGACGATTTGGAGCATTGCATAAACCGTAGGAAAAAATGACTGGAGACTATGAGAAAAAGTGGCGTATCATAAGAAAATAGTAAAAGATCACTACTCGGTACCTTAGATACTTTTTGGCATGCCGACGTTCACGTGTTTAAAGGCACCGATCTCAGGTTATACCTTTGCCGGCTCACGCGGGGACGGTCCCTGCTCACGGGACACACCTGGCGCTTTTTCAGATCGACATCGTCCACAAAATCTTTGTTCAGAACCTCGACAACCCACCGCTGTGCAAGAGCCAGCCCCCGGTGGCGGGCGCGGTCCACTGGGAGCGCTCGCTCTTCTTCCGGATCAAGCACACCATCCTCAGGTTTCAAGAGGTCGAGGAGATCCTGGACAGCGAGCGAGGAGCAGAGGTACGGTCCGTTGCTGCAACTGTCCCCTGTCGTGTTCCGCAGGTGACGCGGCGTGGCCGGCGTGGGGGGCGGCTCACTTTCGGATCCGCGCCTGCATCTTAGTTCTCTCCTGTGGTCCCTGATTCAGGGCTGAGATTTAAGGCGGCCTTTGGTAGCCGTTCTTTATGGCGTCTCCAGACCTACGACACCTTCTGAGCATCAGGCAGGTGGCTTCACCCTGAACTTGACCTTCAGAATCTCTATGGGCTGGCCACCGTCTTTCTGACCATGCTCCCCCTGCCCAGCCATGGGTTTTTGTCAGTTGTATCACTGGGGCTGACAAACTTTTTCTTAAAGGTCCAGAGAGTAAATATTTTAGGCATCTGCAGGTCGTACGGTCTCTGTTGCAAATACTCAGCCCTGCCAGTCACAGCAAGAGAGCATCCTTAGGTGATGTAAAAACGAGCAGACGTGACCGTGTTCCAGCGCAGCTTCATTACAGACACTAAAATTTGAGTTTCGTAGAGCTTTCCCGTGTTATGAAGCATTATTCTCTTGGATTTCATTCTAGTCATTTAAAAGTGTGGAAGCCGTTCTGAGCCCACGGGCTGAGGTCTGCCGATCCGGGCTGGCCAGCCCAGATTTCAAGCTCTACCATCGCGAACAAATCCTCCAGGCTTTGTGAAAACCCGTCTGCCTGTCTGCTTCCTTTTGCAAAATGTGTTAACAGAAATTTTTTTTTTTTTTAATGAGAGAGAGAGAGAGAGAGAGAGGAGAGAGAGAGAAATTTTGTTTCCAAAGACGAAAGACAATGTCTCGAATTTTTCGATAGGTGAAACAGAAGTACTTGGAAGTGGGCAGGATGATGAAGGGCTACGAGGACATGAAGTACGAGCAGTGGAGAGACACAACCGAGCAGGTGCTGCCGGCTCTCATGAAGAAGAGTCTCCTGGCCAAGGTGCGACTTCTCCAGGTCCTTGTCCCCGGTTACGACGCGGCGAGGTGAGGTGACGGCATCTATCACTCCCTTGAGCTTCGATTTGTTTGACATTCGTTTGCAAAATCAAAGGCGACACAGGGCAGAGATTGGCTGGGCGACGAGGAAGGCAGGAAGGGAAGAGGCGGAGACAGAACAGGGCGATGCTGGCCTCGGGCGGCCCCGCCAGTGCCTCGGGCAAGCGGCTGACCTCCCAGCCTCAGTCCCCCCAATGGTAAAAACGAGTCGGATCAGATGCCGTACACGTGCAAGAGTCTTGCTTGAACCATGCAGGAAACAGCTGGTCGCTGACCATTTTGAACCACGTGCTACATCTTTACCACTCTCACGGGATCTGGCTCGTAGCAAGGCCCCAGGAAATAAATCTCAGCTGGGAGGGACGAAAGACCCGGGCCTGGCGAGTGGCGAGGGCCAGGACGGGCCTAACGGGAACTGGCCTGCCCCGATCCGCTGGGGGGCACAGCCGCCCCCCACCCCTATCCTGCCCTCGCCAGCCATTATCAGCGTTTCTAACTTTTCGAGGGGAGCCAAGGTCGCACGCTTTTACACGCAGTTGCCCAGTTTTCAAAGGGCAGTGGAAAGGAGCTCTTTGAAAACTCTGCTCACCAAGCGGACTCCGGCCGGCTCCCTAGTCTGTCCTGTCCGCGTCAAAGGCCCACCGCTGGTTTTATCAAATTCTCGTTTCCGGGGGGCGCTGCGGCTCTGAGTGCGCCCCGCCCCGCCCCCGCCGGCTGACCGGCTTCCCCTCCACAGGTTTCCGCAGATGATGCCACGGGCTCCGACCGGGGCACGGTCTTCGCGATCAATTTTTCGCCAGCTCTCAGGGAGATTATTAACGAAACGAAGTACTTTGAACAGCTGGGGTTTCATATCCCCGAATTAGCAAGGAACGTGGCTCTCCAGGAGGACAAATTTCTTAGGTACAAAAGCCTTAAACCGGCAGTCGATCTTTTGGTCTCGAGACCTCTATACACTCTTAAAAATGATCGAGAACCACTCCCCGCCCTGGCTGTGGATTTTGTAGCTACCGGTATTGACCACGTTAGAAATTACAACTCAGAAATGTTTAAAACATGTATTTATTCATGCACCTAAAAATAACAACAACGGACCTATTCTATGTTAACATAAATAACATTTTTACTGGGAAGTAGCCAATGTTGTCCAAAGAAGAAAATTAGCGGGCAGAGTGGCACCATGTTGCATTTCTGTGACTCTCTCAGTCCTGGTTTCGGACCGCTCCGCGGTGTTTCCGTAGCCTGTCTGTAAGGCTGGCTGGCTTTTCCCGAGCCCTGTCTGACACTCTTCGCTCTCCTGGGACACACAGGTACACCGAGGGGATACAGAGCATGCTGGATCACTACCACACGCTCACAGGCACGCTGAATGAGGCAGAGGCTGTCCTCCTCGACGAGCATTCTCAGGAACTGGTACGCGTGTTTAGGTCCGGACACAAGCGGTTAAACTGGAACTCACTAGGTAATACGTCTCGGCCGTCTGTTTGTTGCCTGCCGTAGTTGAATTGTGACATCTGTATGTTTGTAGATGCGGTTAATGAATATGTTTCAAGCACTGATAAAGAATGACTTGTGGGACCTAGAATTAACCACCCCCTCCCCGGGCTGCAGTTGGGAGTGAAGCTAAGACAGGATGCCATTCGGACACTCTGTTGACCCAAAGCTTTCTCCTCTGAAGATAAAGTGACCTTCATGTATTTTGTTTCCCCCCAAAGTTAAAATTTTACTTTTGAAATAATTATAGAGTCTCATGCTGTTGTAAGAATTAATGCCTTAACCTTAGTCCTCCCACGCTAATTTCTTACAAGTCACAGCCGGGTGTTGACACAGATACAGTCAAGACACAGAATACTGCCACCCCGCAACGGCTCCTCATGCCACCCTTTCGAAGTCGCCTCTGTTTCCCTCCCCACCCCCACCTTCTCCTCAACCCCTGGCCACCTCCACTTCCGAATTTTGTCATTTCAAGAGTGTTACATGTTATGGAACATTTTGGGCTTGGCCGTTGTCACTCAGCATCATTCTCTAGAGATTCATCCAAGTGCTCGTTCCTGGGCTGTGGTGACGAAAGCCTCACCCACCTCCACGTCTGCTTCTGACTCCGCCACGAGGGCACTGGGGCGCCTCCTTCCTGCGTTCTGCGGGTGGCATTCCAGGCCCCCCGGCCGGCCCTTACTGGCATGGGTTAGGGTGGGGTCACACTTTTGGCTGGAGTAGAGCAGCGATTGTCTGAAATCCGCTGTCTTGCGAGGCTGTCTCTTTCTTGGTCCGTCCCCCTGGCGAGAGGAGGCTCATTTGGGGCATACATATATGTTTTTTGGGACGTGTGCCTGTACCCATTTACAAGTCACTAGGTTCTTCAGCTCCAGGCCCAGAGAGAGAAGGAAGAAGAACGGCCGTGGTTACGCGGGTCCCGAGGTCCCAGGTCCCAGCCGGCTCACCTTCTCCCGACCTTTCAGCCTCCTGGCTGTTTTCTAGATAACATGTGCGTGTGGGGTTTTTATCTGGCAGGAGGAATGAGGAAAAGTGCGTCACGCCCTCCTCCTGGGAGGGGACGTCCTCTCGCTACCGGGACAAGGCTTCCTCGTCCCCTGCTCTCGACCCAACGCTTCCCTCTCTTATTTATTTATTTTTTTTTGGTCACTTTCGTTCTTTCTCTCCTGTTCTTCTGTCTAGAGAACACGTATGTGTGGACTGTGGGCTCCAGCACCGACTCCCTGGGTTAAAAGTCAGCTCCGTCCACACGACCTGGCCTCCTGGAGGCTCGGTGTCCTCAGCTGTAAAATGGGCATAAACTTAGCGCCCAACCCACAGGGTTGTTGGAAGGAGCCGATGTCATAAGAAACCGTCGGCCGGCCCATCACACGTGCTTGACCTGCGTCGATGCTCACGCTTGCTTCTCTAAGCAGCGGGCCGCAGGGGCTCGTGAGCAGGGCGGGGTAGAGCGGAAGGTCCAGTGGTCGTAACGACGAAAAGACAAGAGGCTCGGGCCCTCTCTTTCTCCCTGCTGTGGTTTAGATAGGATTTTGTTCAAATTTGAGCAGAAGAAATGTCTCATTTGGTTAATTCTGAGCCCAGGGCGCCTGTCCCAGGACCCAAGGGTGGCGAGTGGATCTCCGCCTCCTCGAAGACCCAAGGGGAAGGGATGAGCAGGGTCCCTTCTGCAAAGGGAAACCAGTGCTAGCGTCACAGATGGTGCTGGGAGGGATGTGGAAAGAAGGGGTCGAGGCCACATGTCCGTCTGTTTTTCTTCCTCCTGTTCTCAGGTATTGCTGACTACATAACTCGCTGCAAACAGGCCATCGGGAAATTCGAGTCCCTCGTCCACCAGATTCATAAGAACGCAGATGACATTGCTTCCCGGCTGACGCTGATAGAGTCCATAAATCTCTTTAAATATCCAGCCCCTAAAAGTGAGGAGGAACTGCCAGGTGGGTCTGACCTCTTGTTTCTTTAATTATGGGAGGAATGGAAAAATCTCTTGGTCATGATTGCATGTGTACACACACACACGAGTCCCTCGTCCACCAGATTCATAAGAACGCAGATGACATTGCTTCCCGGCTGACGCTGATAGAGTCCATAAATCTCTTTAAATATCCAGCCCCTAAAAGTGAGGAGGAACTGCCAGGTGCGTCTGACTTCTTGTTTCTTTAATTATGGGAGGAATGGAAAAATCTCTTGGTCATGATTGCACGTGTACACACACACACGTGTATGCGCGCGCACGCACGCACACACACACACACACTCTATATTTATTTCATGAATGGAACCACACACACACACACACACACACACTCTCTCTCTATTTATTCCATGAATGGAATAAAACCATCCCTGATAACCTCACTTATTTACCGGAAAGGATCATCTTATGGGCTCACATTTCGATGCCCAAACCAGATATTTTAAGTGGTCTCGGACCAGCCCACAAGGAGTCCCCCAGCGTGCGTGATGGCCGTTCCCATGCCGTCACTCGTTTTTCGCATAGAGTGTGCCTTGACTTCCAGCCTTGACTTGTTTTCCGCTCTGAGTCAAGGTTAGAGGCTGCTTTGGCCTTCCCGAGCCATACAGCCGACGTCTTGGACTGTGTTTTGAGGAGTGTCTTCCTCTACAGGCGTGAAGGAGTTCTTTGAACACATCGACCGAGAAAGGGCCAAGGACTTGGACCACATGGTCAGGTGGTACCTCGCCATCGGGCCTCTGCTGACCAAGGTCGAGGGCCTGGTCGTCCACACCAACACGGGCAAGGCCCCCAAGCTGGCCTCCTACTACGAGTACTGGGAGAGCAAGATTTACGAAGTGCTGACAAAGCTCGTCCTGAAGTGAGTGACTCTTGCTGCCTGTTTCAGAGACCGCGTGCACAGATGACAGTGATTTATCTGTACAGAGCGGTCGCAGGGTCCAGAGTGAAAACCGGGTGGAGAGTCAATCTGCTTTCCGGCTAAGGGTGCTCACGGCTCGGAGGGAGGGCTTCATGCTCTTGTCAGGCCTCTCGACATTGAGAAAAGGAAGTCATGTTTCTCTCGCGACTTCAGCTGTCTGAAAGACAATGTGTCTGTGTCCGACCAGCAGCAGCCACTCAGTATTTATCGAAACCCCAGATGACTCTCTCGCCTATTGTGAGAGAGGCCGACGAGAGGGACGTATGACCCAGTCACTCTTCCCGAGGGCCTGAAGTAAACCCCTGGCCAGCAGGCACATCGCGTCTGTGTCCAGTGCATCGTGAGGGCCAGCCCCATACCAGGTGGGGGGCTGAGCGCCCCAGCTCATCGTGATGCTTTGTGGTCGCAGGGCCAGTACGGACACTGGCCTGCGGGATTCATCACTGCCATTGTCACGTCATATAATGTCTTCTTTATGAAGCACCCGGAAGAAATTCCTCTCGGTTCCCTTCCGACCTCGGTGCCTTAAGGAAGCGTTTTTCTTCTCTCTTTTTTTGTCGTTTGTGTTCCCTTTTGTTTTTAAACGGCGTGGGCCCTATGAGTGTTTGACTCCTCTTTTCTCCCTGACTGCTCAGACGCCTGGACCACATTTGCAGCCTGGATGCAGCAAGCGTGCAGATATTTATGATTTGCAGTTTTTCATCTCATTCTTGACTTTCTCTCTTCGTAAAGCCCACGCGTCCGAAAGCGCACTCCGCACCAGGCTCGTGTTCTGTTCTTTACGATTCTCGTCCTCATTTTATAGACGAGGACGCAGACTATGGGGAGGTTAAGCGAGTTGCCTAAGGCCACACATCTAGGAAGGAGAGCTGGGATGTGAACTCGGGCCAGTAGCCCTTCAGCATACCGCCTCCGATTAGCATCTTCTTCCTTTCTTATTTTATCCTATTTTGTTTTTAGGGTCCCTTTATGCAGTGAAGGGATTCTTGTGAGCTGCTCTACTCCGCTTCGGAATAACGCGTTAATAAATACAACAAAGACCTTTGGTCTTCTTGTTCCCTGGACCCGGTTAGACAAACTTAGCTAAGTTGGTCTTTTAAATAAATCTGTTTGTACACATTTCATTTATCTTTCATTGTAGCTTCTAACTTAGACTCCTAAAGCAGCCCCTTATATAGGGCTACCTCCCACAGCGTTTCCCTTCCTAATATGCTCACATTCCTTGATTCATCCATCCATCCATCCATTTATCCATCCATCCATCCATATTCGCCATCCATCGATCCATCCACACATCCATCCATCCATCCATTGATATATCCTTTCTACCTTCCTTGTTCCTTCCTTTTTTCCTTCCTTCCTTCCATCCATCCATCATCTATCGATCATCCATCCATCCATCCATCCACCCATCCATCCATCTATTCATTCATTCATTCATTCATTCATTCATTCAAAGGTTTATTAGAGCCAGGTAAGGCCCCTGTTCTTCTGGAGTGTCTGCATCCTCATAGGGGAGAGAGGCAAGACACAGGAAACAGACTTAACCAAGATAATTTCTGTGAAAGAAATAAAGCAGGATAGCGTTCCACATGGATAATGGGACTGTTGGAATTGGATGGTCAAGAAAGGCCACGGAGAGGCCACGTTTTAGCCGAGTCCTGACGATAAGGAGCATGCTGACAGGGGAGGAGCTTTCTGCGGGACGACTGTTTCTCCCGGATCGGAGTCGGAACAGCTTTTGGATATCATCATTATTATTTAAGCATCTTCCTACTAATAGAGAGTAACTTCCCCAAAGTAGAAACAAGCTATTTGTAAAAATTAGACCAAAAAAAGACTTTATAATAAATCTCACCCCAGACTGTCCATTGCAATCCTGGAATGCTTCTTATATGATTTTTCGCGACTCTAGTCATTTTCATCAGTCGTTGGATATGTTTCACTCTAGTGAGTACTGAGTCTTTTTCGTTCACCCCTCTTAGGAATCTGCAGTCCTTTAATACTTTAATCCTTGGGAACGTCCCTTTGTTCCAAACGGAAACCATTTTGACAGCGCCCGAGATCATCCTTCATCCCAGCGCGAACGAGATCAACAAGATGTGTGTGCACTGCATCCGGAACTGCGTGGAGATCACCAAGGTAAGGGCGGGCGCACCTGCGCCTCAACACAGGTGGCTCTCGCCCCCGCTGCTCGGGCCCATCGGCCGCCAATGGCTGGTTGCCGAGGAGGCGGAGTCCGTAGGTTCCGCTCTGTCCCTTGCCCAGACGGGCTTGGTCTCTAGCTGGCTCTTCCTCTGCAGGTCTCTGAACTCTGAGGCGTCCCAAGGCCTGCTCCTGGTGTCCCCCCTTCTCTTCCCTCTTCTCTCGGTGTGATCAGGACCCACCCCAGGGCTTCAACACCGTCCCATCTCCGTCTCCAGCCCAGACCTCTCTACGACTCGCCGCGCCTTTCTAGTCAGTTGCCTACTTGCCGTCTCCCCTGGGACCTCGGACTTGGCATGTCCCGGGGGGGATTCTTGCAAGCTGGTCTTGCCCCAGTTTTCCCTACGCCAGGAAGTGGCACAACTCAACCAGGAAACCTGGGTGCCATCCTTGGCCTCTCTGCGTCTCCTGTCTCCCCATATTTCCCCCCGCCCCCCCGTCCCCATCGGTAAGAGTGGTTTGTTCGTGTCCCCAGCTGTGCCCTCCTCTGTCCTTTTCCATGTTACCGTCTTCCCAGGTTTCCATCATCCCTCACTTGGGCTATTGCTGCACTGTTTCTGCAGTCCATTCTCTACCACAGGTCAGAATGTTTTTTTTTAAAAAAAATACAAATCATGTCATCTCTTTTATAAAAACCTCCAGTGACATCACACTGCTCTTAGGACGTTCTCCAGACTCCTGACTCTGGTCACTGTGTGGCACCTGCCTACCTTCCTGGTCTCCGTTCCTACGTGTATCACTGTGCTCCCGCCCCATGCTGTGTGACCTCCAGCAGGTCGCACTGGTTCCTCCCTGAACTGCTCGCACTCATGCCGGCTTCTCCACCACGTCGCTATTCTGTCTTCTTCCTAGAACTTATCACTGATGTTTTCTTTACTTGTTCGTGTATCTGTTGACTTGCTCATGCCCCTAGAAGGCAAGTTGAGTGAGAGCATGGACCTTGTGTGTCTGTTTGTTTCGGAATCCTCAGAACTTCTGACAGTGTCTAGCACATAGTTGGCCCCCGGTCATTGTTTGTTGAATGAGTGAGTGTTGGCAAATAACCCAAAGTTTATGTGGTACCAACAATGGGAAAATAGGGCTAACTTTGTGAATAAGGGGTGTCCTAGCCCCTCAGACACAAATGTCTTTTTCTTTACTTTGTTCAGAAAGTCAAACATGTTTCAGGCTTGCTTTTTTTCCTCCCTTCCTTCCTTCCTTCCTCCCTCCCTTCCTTCCTTCTTCCCTCCCTCCTTTCGCTTCCTCTCTTTCTTTCTTTCTTTTTTCTCTCTCTTTCTCTCTCTTCTCTCTCTCTCTCTCTTTCTTCCTTTCTTCTTTTCTTTCTTAGCATAAAACTAAGTGTAGATATTACACATAGGGAATTCCAAGTTGCCGTACTTGGAAATTAATAAATAAATTGCATATACTTTATAATCTATGCTAATACAGTTATTTATTATGACTGTCATTTAAATTCTTGTAACTTAAAGGTATTATATCGTTGGTTCTTTGAACAGGGAGACAGAACAATTTCCAAGGGGGGTAAATAAATAGGAAAAACTCTCTGTGAACCACATGTGTGTTAATCACAATACTTCACGCCGGTTTAATTTTTCCTTTACAAGTAGATGGATCTGAGGCTTTGGGCGAGGCCTGTATCATTTGACTTTCATAGGTGCTTTTTTTTCCGAATAAAAAGAATTTTTACCTATCCTCTTGGAAAACGATGGAAATATACCCCATTAACAAAAAATAAATATTTATGACTAGGTAACTTAATACAGCTTAAGTTAAGGATCTTTGAGCTTCAGGATTTATATTTTACGACTGAAGTGGCTGGCTGTTGTTATTTACCAAGTTAGTTTTTTTTTTTTTTCCTGCATCACAAGCCACTCCAAATCTCAGCGGCTTAACATCATAACTATTTCCTGGGCTCACGGTTTTGCAGACTGAGTTCCTCGGAGCGTTTTGCGGTCCTCACTCATTTTTGCAATCGAACACAATTTATTGATAAGAGAGCGATTTCCATTGCTAGCAAGACTTATTACTGAACGCCAATATATACATAGGATGCAAACTCAACGCTAAACGACTGTTTTTCCCCCCGATTCTTGTTTCGCCAGCATTTTGTCCGGTGGATGAACGGCAGCTGCATAGAATGCCCTCCTCAGAAGGGAGAGGAGGAAGAACTTGTCATAATAAGCTTTTACAACGATATTTCTCTGAACCCTCAGATAATTGAACAAGCTGTTATGATCCCTCAGAATGTCCACAGGATTCTGATCAATCTCATGAAGTACCTACAGAAATGGAAGCGGTATCGACCTCTTTGGAAGCTGGACAAAGCCATCGTGATGGAGAAATTCGCTGCCAAGAGACCCCCTTGCGTGGCGTATGATGATAAGCTGCAGTTCTATTCCAAGATTGCCTATGAAGTTACTCGTCACCCTCTGATTAAGGATGAGCACTGTGTCAGGCTTCAGCTAGGGCCGCTGGCAAACACGGTGCAGGAAAACGCCAAGTCCTGGGTGATTTCGCTTGGAAAACTTCTCAATGAGTCCGCAAAGGAGGAGCTCTATAATCTTTACGAAGAGATGGAGGTAGTGGGTCACCGTGTTTCATTAAAACTGCTTTTTTGGGAAAGTCGGGTTTTCATTTGGTTTATTTAGTGTCCTTCAAACTTTCTTTTATAGAGCCTGGCCAAAAACCTGAAGAAGAGCCCCAGTACCCTTGAGGATCTCAAGTTTGTCCTTGCGACAATTGCAGAAATTAGAAGTAAATCTTTAGTCATGGAACTAAGGTACAGGGATGTCCAGGAGAGGTACCGAACCATGGCGATGTATAACATCTACGTAAGTGAACAACTTCCTTCAGCATTTTACGGTTGCGTTGGACACTAAGACCCTTTTCAGCAATTCTCCTCAGATATACTGCCATAGATTTGTCTATGATTTAAATGTAAAGCAACCTCACAGCTAGAGAGCCTCTCATCAGAAAAATGCACGTTACGAAAAATTTTATTTGTATGATTAAAATAAAATCAAAGTTCTCAATTTTGTCCTTTGTTTCCTTTACCTCTATCAAGTAAAATGATTTTAAATTCCGTGTTTTAAAACTCTGTTAAGGTCTGCTTATACTGTCTGTGTATCTCTTGGTTTCGTTCAAGTCGTTCGGTACCCTTACGTGCCTGTCATCTCTGATCGTGTTCTATATGTTGTACTATGTGACAAACTGGAGAGAGAATTGGAGGCTCTGGCTAATGTCATATCTTCAGAGGAGATTTGTTTTTGATTCTGACAGACGGCACAGCTGGATGAATTAGCAAGCTGGGATAACCTTGTCTTAGTCAGAGATTAAGTTGATTTGAAGCTGGATTTTAGTTTATGAAGGGCTTATCTGTCTAGGTTATCTATCTCTCTGTGCCTGTCTATGTGGACTATTTATTTTTAAAAGTGACTTTCTCCTGATTTCATTTTAATTGTAAAAATGTAATTTTTATATGTAAGCGTAATTTTTATAATTCAACTGGCTTTTTTGCTTGTTCGAAATCACTTAGCCTTCTGTTACCGTGAGCACAAGTCCCCGGGGAGTAGCTTTGCTGAACATTTGTCGTTTGTTCTTTTTTTTTCAGCCTTCTGATGCGGAGAAAGAGCTGGTTGATAATATTGAAAGCATGTGGTCAAATCTGTTTAATGATTCAGTGAACGTGGAACGCACTCTTGGGGGCATAAAGAGAACTTTCACAGAGGTACCGTTACAGTTTTTACTTTCCGAGTAAAGATGTTGAAAAAAGAGCCATCGGATCAAATTAATGCAGCTCTGCTTTTTCTCAGATTACTCGAAACGAAATATTAAACTACAGGCAGCAGATAGAGGATTTCGCAAAGTGTTTTTATCTTGAAGGCCCCGGTTCTGTTGGTGAAGATCTCGATAGCGGTAAGAATATTCACGACGGTCTTAGGTATTGAGTATGTCTTAAGAATTTTATGGGAAGGCGGGACGGAGTTAAGCTTCTTAACCTCCCCTGGACCCTGGGCCCACCTGGGGAACCTCAGAAGTGTACCTGATGCCCGAGGCGCAGGTCACACAGACTGATTCCATCATAGTGGAGACGCCAAGGTGTTTAAAAGCTCCCGTGGGGATTCTGACGCGTGTCCCTGGCTGAGGCCACTCAGAGGGCCTGATAGGAGACAGACTTTTGTAATGGGCCGGGGGTCTCGCACGTGCAGCTGGCCTTGTGGTCTTAGAATCGTGGTGAGATAAAGACTGGAGATTCTAGATTCGTCTTCTTAGATGGCTTCTGTGGGCGAAGGCACAGCGTTCATGATTTCTCCTTCGGGTGTATGCCTTAGACTGTTACATATTTGTCTGTTTATTTACTCATTTACTAGGAATAGAACTTTTAGCCACTTTTGAAAGAGAGCTGATAAAACATGAAAGGAACCGTCAGGAGCTGGCCAACGCGGAGAAACTTTTTGATCTTCCAATTACAATGTACCCAGAGCTGATCAAAGCGCAGAAGGAAATGAGCGGCCTGAAGCAGATTTACGAGCTCTACCAAGACCTGAAGGTACGTGTCCCCACGGGCTCAGTCTCCCTGAAGCGGTGCCAGCACCGTGGAGGCCCGGCGGGGCTTGGTGCCACAGTGACAGAGATGAGCCTGGGGCAGATGTCACAGAAACTGCCCGTTTGGCTCTTGGGAAGAGGTGATGGGGAGTGACCGCTAATGGGGACAGGGTTTCCATTTGGGGTGACGAGAAAGTTCTGGAACTCCATAGTGGTGATGGCGGCACGAAATGGAGAATGTACTTGATGCCACTGAACGACGCACTTAAAAATGGTTCAAAGGGTAGATGTTCTGTTACATGTATTTTAACACAATAAGAGAGGCGTCCAAATGACATATTTGCTCCTCCTAATGTTCCCCATGCAAATTCATTCATTCATTCATTCATTCATTCACTCCTCCATCGATTCACTTAGTTCTTTACAGCCCCCTGCTACGCTGGCTGGAGAGCAGGGATGAGCTGCATCTACCCTAACCGCTCCTGCCCTTTCTGAGCCCCCAGAAGAGACCAACTCTATTAGTCTGGGTTCTCCGGAGAAGCAACCAATAGGAACCAAAGAGATTTATTATAAGGAATCGACTCACACAGTTACGGAGGCTGAGAAGGCCCGAGATCTGTGGTCAGCACGCCGGAGACCCTGGATAGCTGGCGGCGGGGTCCTCATCTAAGCCTGAGCTCGGAGCTGGGAGGAGACTGACGTTCCCGCTCGCAGGCGGGAATTCTCTCCCACGCAGCCTCGCTGTTCTGCCAGCCGCCCTCGGAGGGGAGGGCCGACCGCTTCGCTCAGGCCGCTGATTCAGACGCAGGTCTCACCCAGACGCCCCTCACGGGCACGCCAGAGCAGTGCTTACCCACACATCTGGGCACCCGTGGCCCAGGCGAGTCGACACGTAAATTGACCATTCTGCTGATGCACGAACAAGTCACCACACTGCTGTGACATGAGATAGAAACGAGGCGCACAGAGCACTGTGGGGCCCAGAGGCAGGAGGCGGTGGCTCGGGGAGGTGACCGTCCCACGTGGCCCTGAGTCAGGAGCAGGTTTTCGCCTGGGGCAGCCGTCGGACTCAGGCATGACCTCGTCTTAACTAATTACGTTTGCGGGGACCTCTCCAGATGAGGTCACGTTCCGAGGTTCCAGGTAGACATGATTCTGGGGACACCTGGGAGTGGGGCACATAGAGGAGAGGAACAGGGCTGAGCCTGGGGCACCCCATCATCAAATGCCGCGAGGAGAAGACCCCAAAAAGGAAAAGAGAAGGAGGGGAGGCTGGGCGGGAGGACAGACGGGCCAGGGTTGGACGATGGATGCTTTGGAAGCAAGTGAGAGCAACCTTTCAAGGGGGTGGGACTGTCCCCCGCATCGGATGAGTCCACTAAGAGAAGGCGGGAGGAGCAGCCACATCGTTTCGCATCGTGGAGGCCTTTTGTGACCTTGGAAAGAAAAGGCTCGACGGAGCGGCGTTCGTGGAAGCCCGGTCGCAGTGGGTCCAAGGTGCTTACCCACGAAGAAAGACACGAGAGGCCCCCACAAAGACTCCGGCATGCGCGCCACAGCAGCCTTCTCTGTAGTAGCCCGAGACTGGGAATAGCCCAAACGTCCATCCGCAGGTGACGGATGACTCAGCTGTGCTGCGTCCATCCCACGGCTATTACTCAGCAACATAAAAGATCGAACTGTCGATGCACCCGCGGCAACGGGGGGCGAATCTCAGAAGCGTCACGCTGAGACACAAACGCGTATGTGCCATGCGATTCCGCTCACATACGATTCTAGAACACGCAGGCGAATTTAAAGAGGCAGGAAG